ACATTTTGGTCCTTTTAACAAACTTTTCTGGCCATTTAGAGCAGGTGAGTGTTGGGTTCCAATTGCCAACACAATTTGTATCATTAATGCACTTGTAACAACAACTGGACATATGTATACTTTGACCGTTCATACATCTTAACAAACTTTAACACAATCTTGATATCTTATATTTTTGTATTTTATTTTTAATTATAAAAATTTTTTTTAATAATACAAAAATATAAGATATCAATCTTGATATCTTATATCTTTGTATTATTAACAGAACAAGTACAAACTAAAAAAATTTTTGAAGACAATATTCTCAAAGTTTATTTTACTTGATTGAAAATGCAAAAAAATAAAAATTTTTTCTGAGAAAAAAGTGGGGCATGGCTCCAGTGCCCAGGGCCATGGACCTGGGCAATGGAGCCATGCCCATTTTAATGCGCGTTCATCAAGATTACACAAATGCTGAAAACTTCAGAGCTCCAGTTTGTCTGGAAGGTAGTACAAAACACACATTAAAAACATCACAAAATTCCACTACAAAAAAAGTGGGGTACTTGCCCCAGTCTGCCTGGTGTTTTGGGACCCTGAAAAATTACTAAAACTTAAATAGATAAATACAGATACTTAAAAATAATTTTTTACATTTCTGATCATTTTATTAGATTCACCACCCATGAAAATAGCCAGGTACAATTTTCTAAGTAAAAAGATCAAAAATTTTTAAAGTTATGTAACTTGAAACCTCTAAATTAAAGTTGCTAATTTCTGAAGGGACAAGAGGGGCCTAGTCAACCTGGTGTTTTAGAGTACTGTTTGAGAGAAGTAACACCTTTTAACTACTCCAGATCAGTTAAGGTCCAGGATCATCACGATCAACCTGTTACTGGTATCATGTAACCCAGTACTACTACCTCTCAAGCACTGCTACCTTGTTGGATGTGCTTTTTTAGGCAAAAGCTAGGAGAAATAAACTCCAACTAAAAAATCCCCTGCCTTGGGGCTCTTGGTTGAGTGAAGGCTAGAGATAATGTCTTGATAAAACTACTCATTATAGGCAGATGTTAACTGCATCAGCTGAAACTCCCCTGCCTTAGCGCTCTTGGTTGAGTAGAGGCTAGAGATGGTGTCTCAATAAAAATACTCATTTTGGCAAATGTTAAAGGCATATAGCTACTGTCTTGAAGAAGGCCTCTCAGGCAAATACTTTAGAGGTAAGCAGAATAATTCTGCTAACCAGCCTCGAACCCCTTATTTATTTATAAGGCTGGTGTAGATGTAACATGTTTTACATTGGTTTCAGTCTTGGATGATGAATGCTGGATCTTCTTGACTCTACTTATAGATTTTTGCTTGTGCCTACATGATAGTAGCTATGCAACTCTTCCAGTTATCTCCTAATGAGGGTACAGCTCTAAAACTCAGTTTTGAGTTTTGGAGCTGGGAACAATGTCTGAGGCCAGCTGGTAGTAAGGTTTCCCAAACTCTGTGATAGCTCTCAGAGAGGCTAATTCTATAAACAGGTGCAAAATATCAGAGTATTAACAGTGCTATGTTGTACATGAACAGTGTCCCTTTTGATGCTTATGATAAACATTGTTGAGGCCACATAAGTAGCCCTATGTTACGACTTAAGTTTAATTAACAGGATTGAGACAACTTCATAGCTCATTGCTGTGCTCTATCTTTGAATGAGTCAAGTTCTCATTAAACTTAAATCATCCCCAAAGTAACCAAAAACATTAAACATAAAAAACCATTCCCATCAACTCACTGTTTTAATATATCCATTAAAAATAGTCATGGTCTGCAACCTTCCATCAGTTTTTCGTTTTTAGCGTTTTTATCTTTTAGGAATTTATTATTCAGTTTGTTTTTTTTGTGAGCACTTTAATAGTGATTTATTCATCCACGGAATAGTTATTGCTTTAGTTCTAATTTTTATATCCTCGTATGGCTGGTTTCATTAAGGTACTCCAATAATGTACTTGAATAAATATTAAAAGTTAGTATCTAACCATTTATATAAATTTCTCCACGTTTCTTGTTTTTATTTACACGTCAGTTCATTAGTATTGCTAAGTTTAAGAATACTGTTTTTCAAATTGATAACACTTGGTTGACTATCAGACGAAGTTTTTAAATAATTTACTTTTAAGAAGATAGGTAAGTGATTATTGATATCTGTTTGAAATATTACAGTTTCAAACGCTGTTTTAAGGTCATTATTAACGAAAATATTTTTTTTTTATATGCATTCACTCCTAACAAGGGTGCAACCAACCACTATTAGGTTGGGAGTTACTAGGAAAAAAAGAATAGAGTTATAGAGCAAGGAAACGGTTGACAGAAGACTTGAAAAGTTGAAGGTTGTATCAGTCAGGAACACATGAAGATGGGAGAGAGCTCCAAAGGATTAAAGTGCGGGGGAAAAAACTAAATGAATAAAAATTTTTAGAACATACAGACAGATACAGTAAACGAATGAGAATTAGCTGAATGACAAGTCGAACGAGAATGAGGTTTAGTTGATGGAACTAGAGATGAAAACTCATTTGAGCAGTGACCATGATAGTATTTGTAGAAAAGAGAAAGAGATTCAACTTTAATGGGAAAGAGGCTCAAGCTTAGCAGATAGTCCAGGTCCAACTATGCTTACAATGCATTTTTGGACCTTGTCTAGACGAGAAAGAGCATCATTAGAAGAACTAGCTCAAATATAACAACAGTATTCCATACAGGGACAAATAAGAGATTTATAGAGGTAGAGAATGGAATCAGGAGTAAGGAAATGGCGAGCAGGATAAAGAGAAGAAACCTTAGCAGAAGCTAATTTAGCAATCGATTGTATATATGGTTTCCATAAAAGGTCAGTAGTAAACGATAATCCAAGAGAATGTTAAGATGAGGACTCAGTAAGAGGATTGCCATTCATTAATATAAGAATATTAACCATATTGCGATAGTTGTTAGCAGTAAATAACTGTGTTTTGTTAGAGTTAAAGTCCATAAGCCACTGTGAGCTCCAATTTATTATAGAAGCAAGATCAGACTCAAGATCGGCTGTCTGTACTAAGTGATCGAAAAGAGAAGACTTTTTGTCAAGACAGGAGCATAAAGTTGAGTCATCAGCAAAAAGAGTTACTTTAGATGTAAGGTTTGTCAGGAAGATCGTTAATGTAGATAAAAAACAAAACAGGGCCCAGGATGGAACCTTGAGGTACCCCAGAAGTTACTGGAAATAAAGAAGAGTGATGGCCTTCAAGGATGACTTTAATAAACTGGTTAGAAAAAAAATGATTTGATAATCTTAAAACTTTACCAGATACACCATATGAAGCAAGCTTATGGAGAAGACAAGCATGCCAAACTTTGTTGAAAGCTTTAGATATGTCGAGAGCAATAGCCCTAGCCTCCCCGCCTCAATCTAATGCACGATAAAATCTTTCAGCTACAGCAGTTGCCAAGTCAGCCGTAGAGCAAGAGGATCGAAAACCGTGTTGTCTGACAGTATTTTATTTAACTCAAGATGGGATGTGAGGAATTTGTTGATCAAAGACTCAAAGACCTTGCTTATAACAGAAAGAAGACTAATCGGACCATAATTGGAGGGGTCAGAATGTTCTCCAGAGTTTTTGAAAATTGGAACAACAGATGTCATTTTCCAGCATGCAGGAAAACAAGACTCAGTCAAACACTTATTAAATAGTTTAGAGAGAATTGAAGAAAGTTCTGGAGAACAATTCTGCAAGACTGTGACAGGAATGTTGTCAGGACCACAAGCTGTAGAAGAGTTTAACTGAGATATGACTTTAGCAACAGAAGTCAGAGTGATTTGAATGTCTAACAATGGGTCAACCTGTTTAACTGGAATGGAAGAAAGAGAATGGCCATAAGATTCAAGAGTGGAATTAGAAGAAAAGTTCTTTGCAAATAGTTCTGCCTTATCCTTGGGTGAGGTAATAAGATCAGGCCCATGAGTGAGAGATGGAATGTTAGGTCTACTTTTGTTAATAATGCTGTTGAAGATTTTCCAAAAGTCTTTAGAGCCTAACTTCTGTGACAAGATGCGAGATTTAGTAAACTGAGAATAATGGAGTTTAGCATCAGAAAGTACCTTTTTACATCGATTTCTTGCAATAATAAATATCTGTTTGTTCTCAAGAGAGTTGTTCTTTTGAAAAAAATGATTACGATTAGATATAGCAGCTGGACAAGAAGGTGAAAATCATGGAGTAGAATGACCTGGAAACGACGAGAAGGAAAAAAGCTTCCATTCCTGCCTGAATTCAGGAGGTTACCTAGGAGGCACATTTGTCAGCTGAGAGAGAAAAAACATCAGCCCAAGGACCATCACAAAGAACATCACGAAAAGAATATCAGTCAGCTTTAGGATAGTAGTAGATGGTGCAATGATATGAGCCCGAAAAAGAAGTACGAGAGGAAAGATTTATAGAGATCATTACATGGTCAGAACAACCTAAGGGAGAAAAGGGAAAAACTGAACATAAGCTAGGGTCAGAGACAAGACATAAGTCAAGGAGTGAAGGTAAATGATTAGGGTTGTCAGGAAAATGAGTCACAAAGTTAACTAACTGAGTAAGAGATTGAGAAACGCAGAAGTTATAGGATTTAGTGCCAGCAGGATCAGTGGTGTTGGAGCCAAGCCATTCAGTGTGATGGGCATTAAAGTCACCAATAACCACAATATTGGCAGAGGAGTAAAGAGAGAGGGCATGGTCAATTTGACCAGAGATAAAATCTAAAAGAGTGCAGTCATGGGAAGTGTCAAATTATCATCATCATCATCATCATCATCATCATCATCATCATCATCATCATCATCATCATCATCATCATCATCATCATCATCATCATCATCATCATCAACATGATCATCATCTTCATCATCAACATCATTATCATCATCATCATCGTCATCATTATCATCATCATCATCATCATCATCATCATCATCATCATCATCTTCATTGTTATACTATAAATACCTTTCTTGACATGAACTTTACTAGCAATATCAGGTAGATTTGAAGAATCTAAATGATAGTTATATAAGTTTTTACTTCGAGTCCTTACTTCTAATTTAAGGTTATATTTAATATCATTACTATCAAAATTGAAGATTCACCAAACTTCAAATACTTTATCATCAAACAATTAAAGGTTGATTCTGTTTAAAAATATCGAATTCATTTTTTTAATATTTGTAGTTATGTAGTTAATCATGTGACAAGTTTTTTGCAACATGTGAATGTAAGAAATATCAAAATAATACTTTTTAATATATTGATCTCCCTCAGGTCTATACAGCAACAACAGTTGAGTCATTAATAAGCAACTTTTTAAAATTGTTTGACCAACTTAATAAAAAAATAAAAAATATAAAATATTTCCTTGGTTTTTAACAATTTTTATTTTATTATTATGCAATATACAATATAATTTATATATAGTAAACTAAAAATGCTATTTTATGCAAAAGTGTTATCATGTGTTATTACAAATTTTTTAAATGTTTTATATGTACTTTTTATTGTACTTATTGAAAAAAGTAATATGAAAACAAAGAGTGCATTGATCAAATATTCCTACATATTCCAAATATCTTTTGAAGCAAAGTGTGGAATATACTTTCTTGATAAAAGTTTTGCTCTAATGTATCTGTCTCTTCTCATTTCTCCACATACAGTTGTGGCTGCTTCTGTAATCAATTTAACATGTTTTTCTACATTTTGAGAATGGCATAAAAAATCATCTGACGTCAATTTTTGCATATTTTGTATTACATTTTCAATGAAATTATCACTAAACTCTTTTAACATAGGTGACATTTTGAACTTTCTTACTTCTGTAGAATTTGAAAATGTGGATTACTTTGCAAATTTAATTCTTCTAGCTGCTAATTCTCTTTTTTTTCTTTCGTTTATCTGTCAAAATTGATATCAAAATATTTTCTGGTTGACCATAATATGCATTTCATTGAATGCATTTGTCAACTATAAATCAATCACTTTTAGAAAGCATGCGAAAGAATTAAATTAAGTACTACAAGTGTTTTGCCCCCATGTAACATTGAGGCTTCAGTTTTATAGAAAAACCACACCGGTGCATAAACTCATAGAAAGTAATCAGTAAGTATTACAAGCTCGGTAGACAGAAGAGTGCTTGCAACATACAAACAAAGGATTCCATTTGCTGTTATTAGTCATCAAGAATGAACCAATTGCCCAGGCTTATTTTTTGCTAGTGTTTCTTTCACCTTTTCTATTTTTATTGCTTTGCCCACGTTATAAAGATACTGTTGATCTTTGCTAATATTACTTGTCACAATCTCATGTAAAATGTTCGGTAAGTTATTCTGTCTGACATCAAATTTGACAATTTGTAACTCATGGAAATTTGTAAGCACTTTTTCAATGTTGATACAAAATGCAGTAGGTCCTGAAGGGGTGCTATCTAAATGCAATACTAAACTTCTTAATGGTATTTCATTAAAATGGAACATAACACTAATTATTGAACCGGATATCCCAAATGCAGTTCCAGCGATCTTATTACACCATTGTTCACACTAGTATTTACATTAGCTCCATCAGCGCCAATAGCTAACACATTACCAAGTGATATTTTGTTTTCATCAAAAAAATCTAACAACATCCTTGATATTTGTTGATGAAATATGAACAAGAAAAATAGAATGAGGCTCTTCTATAAATGTGATATGTTCCTTAGCGATTATGTCTTTTCTGCTAGTCACAAATGCACAAAGAGTTTTATCTTTTCTCCCATTAAAGAAAATTGATTTTGGGCCTACTAAACACATAGCTAACTTTGCTTTGTGTGATTATGTAGTTCTAAGCAAATGTCTTTGGTTTGGTTTATGATCTTTGGTCTTTTCGGTCATGTTGTTTTATAATTCCTTAATCTGAAAGTGTGGCAGTAGCAATTGCAGCTTCAGCAACATCAGATACACAATATTTGTCACATTCTATGGTATCTGTTAGAAACTTTATCATCTGCCAGATTCACTAGCTAATTAACAGAAATTTGACAACTATCATTTGACATCAACATTCTCATCAACATCGCTCTGAGTGTCATTTATAAACTCCTCACCAGAATTAATTTATGCATCTACATCAGAAGTGATACTAACTGTTGCTTCCAGACTGCTTTCATTAGACCAAAAAAAATCATAGTATTTCTGTCTCTTTGTGCTTCTTTCAAATGCTTTGGTGAACATAAAAGTACTTTCCTTATCTAAAATACCAATAAGCATATTTCTTTCATTTCTTAGATCCATTAAAAATTCATGCTCGAGTACTGGCCCTTTTGATATTCTCAGCCTTTAATTCTTAGCCAATTACTTAAATTAAGACAATGACATGCTGCAATGTCAAACAAAAATAAACTTTCCAATTTAGCAATTGATACTGTTGAAGTCTTTGATTCACTTTCTCTTTTAAGAATCATTCTCAAATTATTGTGCAAAGATTCTACTTTCTGCTGCACTCTTTGCACTTTAACAGATGGAATACAAGATTTCAACCAAATGTTCAACTCTAGAAACTAGTGTGCTTGACTTAGTCGTCCTAGGAAGTTCTAATTTAACAAAAGAATAGTACTGCATTATTTCCTTAACAGTTTGCATGTCATAAGTTCACATTCGATGCCATAAACAGGACAAGTCAGCTGCACTCTTGTAACAGTCATATTTTGCCACAGAAATTAAATTATTTTTAATTTTCTAAACATACATTAGTTCTATTCAATTTGCAAAACAGAATTCATAGATACAGATAGATCATTTGGTATATGTATGGATCTTGGTAATCTTTATATTATTATTAATATAATAATTTTTATAATTTATTTTTATAATTAATTCAAAACCTAATAAAGAAATAATCATAAGCACAAAATAAAAGATTTAAATTTAATAAATCATATACAGATAGATTATTTGGTATATGTATGGATATTGGTAATCTTTATAATATTATTAATATAATAATTTTTATATAGTAATACTATAAAATCTTTATATACTAATAAATAGAAAACTTTTTTTTAATTTATTTTAAAATGAATAAATAATAATAATTATAAAAAGTGCTAGTTCACTACAATTTATCTACGAATAAAATTATAGAAAATACTTCTTAAAAGAAATACTTTTTACAATTTTAGAATATTGTAAAAAGTATAATTATATATTTTTAATTAATTCAAAACTTAATTAAGAAATAATACGTAAGCACAAAATAAAAGTTTAAAAAATATTGAATGTGTTTCAAAAATGTTCAAAGTGTTTATCTTTGTTAAGAGAAACTTTTTACTTTTATTATGACTGCATTGCAGATTTTTTATGTGTATTGCATGAATATTTTATTTCATATACTTTTATTTTTTCAATAACTATTTTTATATATTTTTATGAAGTGCATTTTACCTCTGGAGCAGTGTTCACTCACCCATAAGTTGATATTGGTATGCTTGCGCTATGTTTGAACAATTAGTGTTGTGTTCATTCAAACGTAAGTTACTATAAAAATGTTTGTGTTCTGTTTGAATCTCTGGTAAAGTGTTAGCTCAGTTGCCAACTAAAGACTACAACTATAAATCTTTCATATATTCACATTAATTTCCAGTATTTCTATAAAAGCAATTTCATAGAAAAATGTTGTCACACACTTGGCTTGGGTGTTTACATTGGCATCACCTCACCTATTTGTCAAGAAATCAGGGTTGAATCCTCTGACTAATCTTTTATTTGTTTCCGATTAAAACCGTTTAACTCAATCACAGTTCGTTTTGTTCTTTATTATTCTCCCTTAATTTTTGTCTTGCCTTTGACCCTAGTCTAAGTTTTTAGATGGTTGTTCTATAGGTGGTTCTGATCATGCAGAGATCTCTATAAATCATTTATTTCATACTTTTCCTTCAGGATATCATTGTACTTTTTACTACAAACTTAAAGCTGACTGAGCTTCATTTTGTGATTTTGTTCATGTAGTGATGTTTTTTATCTTGCCACTAATAAATACACTACCTAAGTTTCTACTTGGATCAAGGCAGGTATGAAGCTTTCATTCCTACTATGCTACTCCATGGTTTTCTTTTTCTTATGCTGCTTTTATATTTATTTGTAAATAAAACAGATTAACCCATAGTTAGACAACCATATCACTCTAGCTTTAATGCTCAAGTCATTTCTCAATTAAACTCTTCTGCGGTTTATGATCCAAACAACATTTTTGTTGTAGGCTTACAAAAGTGTTCTTTAGAAACGCCCTTTCATTCTCTCTAAACTATTAAGTGATTAACTGAATCTCCTTTTGTTGGAAAATGGCATAGGTTGTTCCAATTTTTAAAAACTCTGGAAAATTCTTTGAGTCTTTATTAAACAAATATCTAACCTTTATGTTGAGCTTAAAAACTTTCAGATTTTTATCGACTTAAACTATGACTGACTTGTTAGCTGGTGTATCTTAAAGGTTCTATTGTATATTAAACGGAGTTGGCGAGACAAAGGCTATTGCTCTCCACATTTTAATAAATTTTTGTCTACTTATCGATTATTGCTGTTTTTTTAAGAACATTGAGCACTTTATTTTGCAGAACGCATTCAAACTTATTTGTAAATATATATATATATACATATACATATATATATATGTGTGTGTATATATATATATATATATATATATATATATATACACATATATACAGGCATTGTTACGAGATTTCATTGCGTAATGGAAAAGCGTAACGCAAGTAAATGTAACTCAAAAAGCTTACATATTTACACTGTTAAAAATTAAATAGCGCAATAAACCCATTTAAAAGTACCACATTGTAATTAAATTTAATTTTAAATAATAATTTTAAATTAAAATCTTTTAAATAATAACTACAACAAATAATACTTATCAAAATATTTGAAAAAGAATATTTTTCCTTTCACTTACTATTTATTTTTCAAAAACAAACTTGTACAAAACATAATAATCTTTGCTTTCCTTTTTCAAAATTA